TGTCGTTGTTCGAGGAATTCGAAAGGCTGCAGAATTTTTCAACTAGTACCTGTACAAAATTTCTACATCAAAGGTTCCAAACAGTGCATCACAAGTCCAAACAAACAGGTTAAGTTAAATATAACCTGATGTGATTTGAACCTAGAATTGTTCAATTTCATATAAGAATAAAAAAAATACTGCGTTATCAGTGATATATGTGTTATTCGCTTAAAAGAAAAATAAATTATAGTCTGATGTTCAAAATTTACAGAGACTAGTTTGATTCTTCTCTGTATTGAGAACTGTTAGTAGGTTATTATAACAAATACGATATTTTCACATATAGTCAGTGGGCATACTTGAAGACTGGCTATAAATCAAATTATCTAAGAACAATTCGTTCAGGCCAGTCTCATATCGTTGGGCGTTGGATATAATCCAACGCCCTTTGTGGTATTAGCCAGGGAATCCATTTATAGACATTCTATGCACATTCTTTCGGGAATAATCCTGCCATATTCATTCAAGCATATTCTATGAATATTCTAAAGGCATGTATATATTCCAAGAATATTCTATGAATATTTGGAATATATACGTTCGTTTTATGATATACAGGGAATATTCCATGAATATCTAGTGCTGTGTGGGTATATATTCATATGAAGTTTCTTTTCTCACAATGGGCTCAAAAGCAATTTCCTTGGCTATTATCACGTTATTTGAAACACCCTGTATTTCTCAGAGTTGCACTATTCTTATTGGAGATCACGATAATTGAGTACTCTCATTTGACTTTCTCTTCAGAATAATTTGCTATACATTCTAATTTCCGCATTTGTTACGACAATGAACACGGATCGAATGAAAGTGAAAACAACGAAGGTTGATGAAATTTGTATTTTTTTTAAGCTACAACACATGTTTGAGTGATTGCGCGAAAGAAGTTCTGCAATTATGATTTTACTTGCAAAAAACACTTCAGGAACGAACAAAAGTTGTTTTTGAGACATGCTCGGTAAAAAATACAAATTTCCTGGAAACTTTCAGAAAAAAACAAGGATTCGAAAACGGAAACGGAGTTTTATACTTTTGTTTTATATGCAAAATCAATGAATACTATATACAGGGTGTTCCTTAAACACATGCTAATATTCAAGGAGGTAATTCTTAGACCCATTTTAAGAAAAAAACTTCCTATGGACGTATGTCCTAAACGCCTTAACTTTTGAGATACAGGGTGGCAAAGTTTTCAACAAAACTCATAAACTGAAATTTCATGACTAGAAAGCATTTTGTATTAACTCTGAATGCCTGTATACCGAATGGCATATTGTTTCAAAGTTTATTCAACACTTTTATTCCCAACACCAAAAAATAACCTATACGATATCTGGCAACACAGTTTTGTTTACCTATAAACTTGAAAACGTTCCTGAAGCATCTCGTTCCATGCATCTCTCTCTTACATGCTCCATTTTGCAGCACCGGACATGACATTAAATTTGACCCTTTTTGTTTTGACTAAAATTTGTCCAATATCCAAACACAGAATCGTGAAGATTGTTCTTTCTATCTATAATTGGTAAGTGTTCGAGTAACGCATTCAACGTGCGTGCTGATGTGATGTCACGGTGCGTTGTGGGACTTGTGTCAGTGGCGGTTCGTTGGCTCACTTGATTCCCCATGGGCGTAACATTTTTCCAATTTCTTACTACAAACTTAGCACTTTGCAAAACAAAATTATATTCAATTTCCATCGGTATTTCTTGTCTTATTTTTCACTCAATATTTTCATGTATGTGTTTCTTATAACGTAATTGTAACGTAACATAATAAAGTAATTGAAACTGATACCTAGTTTCTCTTCATTTTCGGCCTCTAGTGTCGACTATTTTTTTTTCGCATTGAAGCTACAGATAAAAGCAGGGCGAAACGTATTTGGTGATGAATCTCTACGAATTTGGTAAAAGACCTCTTTGAGAAGCCGTGTTTATCAATGATATCTTTGGACTTAGTTTTCTGTCGATTCAATTGATTGTTTTTGTCATTCAAAGTTCTTATTTCAATTTTGTTTTTTATCAATGTCATTTCATTTGAATTCAGTTATAGTTTTTCTTTGTATCATTTTCACAGTGCAAAATTCCATCGTTCTACGAGAAAAAGTGTTTCAATTCTTGATTGTCATTTTCGAAATTCCGTTTCTGCAACACTTTGGACTGTCAAAATATTTTCTTAGCGCCATCATGTAAGCAAATTAGACTTCGTTTATGCACTAAAAGTGATGAGAAATGTAGGATCAAAATTCGAGACGTTGACCTGTCAGTTTCACTCACTCTCAACGGAACATGATACAGAACTTTCTCGTTTCTTTCGGTCCGGTGTACTTGACCCACAATTCGAGATGAAAGTTGTTTCAATTTCTCCGTGGATGAGTATCGGTCTGCTGTGAAAATAATGATTATCAATCTGGCGAACAAAAGAACTGTTCTATACAGAGGGTGGAAAAGTGACGAAATTTCTTGATTGTTTTTCATTTGAAAAGGTTCTTTACCAATTTTAAATCGTAGCTGTATTGAATTCCACTTTTATCCATAAAGTGATCTGTCTGATTATGCATTTTACATAATTACCTCGTATATCAACGTTGGAAATTTTCAGATCATTCACTATATGTCTACAGATCTACAGAAAATGTTATGGCAAAAAACAGTGTATTTTCATAACTCTAGTGTCTGTAAGGAGAAAAACTACCTGTATATGAGTATCTTCTTGTTTTTCACTGCCTATATCTGAGTCAACTATACTATAACTTCGGTGGACACTATCTAAGACGATGAAGCAACATAAACAGTGCTTCATTTGACCTTTCTGGACCACTAGAGCCGAAATATTCATAAGAATGTGTCTTGTGGACTAGTTTTTCATTGCCTATATCTGAGTCAACTATACTGCAACTATGATGAGTATTATCTAAGATGACGAAGCAACAAAAACAGTGTTTCATTTGACCTTTCAGGACCACTAGAGCCTAAATATTCATGAGAATGTGTCTTGTGGACTAGTTTTTCATTGCCTTTATCTGAGTCAACTATACTGCAACAGTGGTGAACATTATCTAAGATAATGACGCAACAAAACAAATGCTTCATTTTACTTGTCAATATCACTGTAGCCTAAATATTCATGAGATTGTTTCTTGTTGATTAGTTTTTCATTACCTATATCTCAATCATCTATACTATAACTTTGGTGGACATTATCTGAGACGATGAGGCAACAAAAAGTGCTTCATTTGACCTTTCAGGACCACTAGAGCCTAAATATTCATGGGAATGTGTCTTGTGGACTAGTTTTTCATTGCCTTCATCAGAGTCAACTATACTTCAACAGTGATGGACATTATCTAAGATGATGGGGCAACTAAAACAGTGCTTCATTTGACCTCTCAGGACCTCTGGAGCCTAACTATTCATTAGATTTTTTCTTGTGGGCTAGTTTTTCATTGCCTATATTCATTGCCTTTATCTGAGTCAACTATACTGCAACAGTGGTGAACATTATCTAAGATAATGACGCAACAAAACAAATGCTTCATTTTACTTGTCAGTATCACTGTAGCCTAAATATTCATGGAAATTGTTTCTTGTGGAGTAGTTTTTCATTGCACTTATCTAAGTCAACTATACTAATCTCATTCTATCTATATTCAAAGTGGGGATACCCGCTTTAGTTTTTTTTACCTGAGTACTTTGAAGTTTTTGAATTCAGCTGTTATTAGCAAAATGATGGTGCTATATAAAATCAATACGCTGGATCATAAAAACTGAGAACGGCATCTTGTACAACTTGGAAAATGGCAATGCAGAAATATTTTGGTTTTTTCTTCTCAGATAACCCCCGAAACTGACGACTTTAGGTTTTTCTCGAATGTCTCCGGAACTAATTTCCTGAATTTCAAAGTAATCTCTAAAATGATGGTCAATTTTTCTTTAATTACCTGACTTTTTTATCTCATACAATTAACGATTTTTTCAATCTGGCCCTCCTTATCTTGGACAAATCGTATAACGTCAGTTCGAATTATTCTGCAGGATAGTTCGAATACAGGGAAAGCAACGGTGAAATAGTAAAATGAGTGCGATAATTAACGACAAAGTGTAATTGAAATAGTGTCTATTTGTCATTTGTGTTACAAAATAAAAGAAATACATTTGAAAAAATGTTTTGCTTATATATTCATTAAGAACCAATGCTCAGACTACTGACAGCGATAGTACGTAAAATTATTATTTCAGATTCTAAGAAACTGCCACATAGAGTGAAATTTGAAAGTTTCATTCTTTCAAGGGACTTTTCTTGTAGATGATCATATTGAAGAAGAATTTTCCTATAAAGGAAGGAACTCAGATGACGTTTGAATAAAATGTGTTTATCGAAATTATCAATGAATTTCAATAGTTTTTGAAACCTATAGTGTAATTACAAAAATATAACACGAAGTTCCAAGTTCCATTTCATCATCTTCAGAACTTTACTCCGAGCAGAAATTAGAACAGTGTAAGATAACTGATGGTGAGAAGTGATGGATATACTGAGGAAATGATTAGTTCGAAAAGAAACATTAAACCCTTAAGCTTTCACAATTGTCTAACAGAACACAACTACTTCCCTGAGTTATAACACGGCGGATATTGGAATACTTTGCCTGACTATAAATTTCTGTCGTACATTTTCAAATATCTATCGTGGCTTAAAGCAGACAAGTAGTTGTTTCTCCGCAGAGAAAAACTCAAAAACATGTATTCGAATTTCTTTCGAAATATCCATTTCGTTAGATAATTCTGATTTAACATTATCCGCTACGGTATCTTGCGAACACACTGAACTGCAAAAAAATTAATGCAAAATACGTGTTTGATCGTCAATTAAATAAACCTATTCGTGTTAAGCAGACACACTTTTATTTCAATAATGGCGGAGAAAGTGGTACCACGCAGTACCGGAGATCAACTCACCTTGCCATCTGTCGTGCAACAGGTTTCATTGTCATTGTCATCCGTTGTTATCTCGTGTTTCGTTGTCAAAGTAACAGTCATATCTGAAAAAATGCACAAAAATCAATTTCAATAGAATAATAGTATCATGTTGGTTTATGGGTGAAAATAATGATTGAATGACCGGTATGAGATAGAAAATATAAAACAATATATCATTGAACGAGCGACAAATGTGACCATTACTCGTGTGAGTAATTCCTGGCGAGTAGGATATTATATTTTTTCTGATCGGGTAATTGAAAATCGAATTCCTTTCAGAGCACCATTTCTCGAACTAGGCAGAAACGAACAACAAACAACATGTTTGACAACATCCGATCTGCCAGTGAATGAGGTAACCAACCGCGTAACGATTGTCTAGAAGATCGGTTCTGACATTTGGGGGCAGTGCTGGTTTTGGCTTTATTCACGAACAGAGGTTAATCGTCCTCATATGCCCCAGGAGAAAACTTTATTGAAGGATATTTGCAAAATCATGGAAATATTCCTAATCTGTTATTTATGGTCTTGCATTTCAATAAACTCAGCGGAAACATTATCAGATTGTACGTGCACTCGTATAAGTTGACCTTCGAATTCGTGATTCCAATATACTATTGTTTGGCAATCTATTTCGACGTTACCTTTGATTCACGATGTCAATGACAGGTCACAGTTTGTTTGGTAGTTGTATTTGTTGATATTTTCTGCTCACCTGGATTTATTAATGGTTAGTTATCAGAAATTGTCAGAAATATTGTGGAGAAGGCGTTATATGCATTAGGTATGTGTGGTATGCACTCCCACATATTAATGTTCGGGAAGACAGTTTTTGGACGAACGTTTTCCAATGCGTCGGATTGGCAGAAGGGGTCCAGTGGGGTGGCCAGCTAGATCACCTGATCTCACACCGATGGACTTTTTTCTGTGTGGTTGAAAGTGTAATCTACTAAGCCTAAAATCTATCTAGAAGACCTGCGACAAAGAATTGCGGATTGCTGACTCCGAACATCTTGAATAATGTACGGAACGCATTCGAGAGTAGACTTTATTATTGTATGGAACTAGGTGGAGGTCATTTTGAACAATTTATCCGTTGATATTGTTTCCACGATAGCGAAATTTCTGTTTTTCTTAAACGAAACGTTCAACACTTAATTTCTCACTAACGAATGAACCTAATCAGACAAAAAATACAGAAGTAATAGAGGGTCAAAAAACTTTTAAATGATGTATCACTCGACCCCCCATGCCATTGGGGTGGTATTTGATGACCGCAGAGGGGTGGAGTTTCGGGTATGATTTCCATATCATAATTAGTCCTCCTAGAAATAAAAATTGACATGTTCCTTGAAATTTTCGATCACACGTCCGTTTCTGACTTACAGGGGGTGTCAAGTTTTCTTTGAAACGCCCTGTATATTTATGTATATACGATTAAAAATATTGACACTGAAAACCTCGGTCAAAAAAGCTTTAACCATTTTATCATATCAAATGAAGAATCAAAAAGGCATTAGAATAAATGGGGAATCTGTATCTGTAGATTTTTTCAAAAACTACACCTCACCTCACAACATGTTTCGCTAGCATAGTAGCTTTCTCAAGTGCTTTGAATACTTCAACTTGTTCCTACATTAATATTTATATAGTACAGGTAACCATAATTGAGACTACCTCCAAAAAATTACCTAAACCTCTATCTAAGGTACCTGTTCAATTATGATCACCTGAAGCATATTAACTCACATCTACATCAATAATAATTCTTTCTCGGTTTTTAAGAAAACAAGTTCAATGATGGTGACCTATTCAAATCTAGTTTATCATTCATTGGAATGTTTGAACTTTCAAGTTTATTAATTTCCATTGCTTCCAAATGATTCAGTTTCAAGCCTTTATTTTCTATGTGCAAAATTTCGAACTCTTCATCAAATATATGATTTTCTTCTAGAAGATGATTTGAATATGTTAAAAATTTGTTTTCTTATTTACATAGCTCGTATGATGTTCCTGGATTTGACTCCTAAATGTTCTGCCCGTTTGACCAATATATACCTTAGGGCACGTTTCACACTTTGATTTATACACTCCTGCTTTCTCGAATTTGGATGTTTTGTCTTTATTATTCTTAACTAACTTTCCCATTGTATTAGTTGTTCTATATGCAATTTTAATATCTCGTTTCCTCAAAAATGAAGCCACTTTTTCTGTTGATTGTCCAAAATACGTTAAAGGGCACGACTCTTGTCGTGCCCACCTAAGGATAATGTTATTATCTACCGAGGCTTTGGCTAAATCTTGGTGGCATTACATATTTGTAAGTTATTTGGAGGATTATGGAAATGGAAGGTATGCAATGCATAGGGAAGTAGGCCCAATACACTACCTCGTGAATTCCCGTGGTGAACTACAAAGTCATTCAATTTTGGTTTTATTTTTCATATCATTATGTTGAGTTCGATTTGATGACACAGCAAACATTCATATGTGTTCAGGACTGAACCGAAACGGCAATCGACACACTTTATCAACTGTCTCAGAATATAGTATATCGATATCGAAACCCCTATCTGATTTTTATCTTGAACATTAAGAATGTTCGTTATTTTCACTTGGTGATTGAAACACGTTTCGAGGTGTTGAAAATAAAGGTTTGGTGTTGGGACAGAACTCCATTAATATTTCTTACTACACCGAAGGTTCCAAATAACAGTGCATTACAAGCAAAGCATTCAGAATATCTTTTGTTCTAAGTGTTGAAGCTGTTGAATACGTTGAATACCAGGCTTCTTCTTGTGAAATCTCACAATGAAATGTTTTTTGAATATCCATATCATCATGAATAACATATCATTTTATCGGTTTGAAGAAGATAATCAGAATAACCATGCTCCGATTTACAAAGAATAGAGTCTGGACAAAAGCCATGATACGAAGCCCCAGAACGTTTTGTACCACTGTGGATATCAAAACACTCTCCGTCATTTAGATTTCAAAGTCAAACAAATCAAACAGTAAATTTGAGTCATTTTCAACGGTGCTTCGGTAATGAATTTCGCCATTGGTATAAAGCTAACTCAGTGAACTGTGAAATATTATTTCAAACTGAAAGTACTGTTTTATGCATCTAACTATAAAAAATTTGACAAACTCAACTTAGCGCATCTAATTTACCTGAAGTTTCAACCAAGAGTAATCCACTTCTAAAGCTGCATAGGCCCGCGAAACAAAAATCGTCACGTTTGCAAACAAATAGATTACACGTTTTAAAAAATAACTATTGGTTTCGCAACTATCAGCGATGTTCAACTAACGCGGCAGAAACCTCCTTTCTCCGCTATAGAAGCACTCGCACTGTCCGACTCAACGTTCACGACTTGCTTGATTCGCTCTTCTTCAATTTGTTGATAGTTGGCGAAGTCTGGTGCCAAACTTTGTTCAAGTTGAACACGACCTAATTGGGTTACCATTAGACACCAATGCTGTGATTTTAGAGCTCATTCGGACGAGGGGTAAATTAACATCGCGCTAATAGTCCATGTAGAATATTTTGTCAAAAAATCTCGACTACGGCAAAAGTACACTTCAAGTGACACTGCTTGACAATGACAAGTTGGAAAGTATTCAATATTGTTTACATTTGGGAATGAAATGATAGTAGGCGAAAGATATTTTTTTACATTATGGTTCGAAATTTGAAGATCTGAACAAAATAAGCGCTGCAGGTTCCGATTCTTGCACCATCCAACGTGCAAGAACAATCTCATTTCACGCGTCGAGTGTTTTTGACGAAACATAAAGGAAATGGGAATTTTTGAATGAAAACTTGAGAAACTTCCAGTCAGAGAATGCTTTTAAACTATTGAGGAATTTGAATTTTTTCGGTTTTCTTAAGAACAAAACGTAAGCACTGCAGGAGCGACATATAATAGGCCCGACGGTACCGGGTCGAATATATGTCGCTCTTTCAAGAGTTACCTTTAAAGAAAACATGTTGGTACTGTCTATTGACAGAAAAGCTGTGAACGTTGTATATAAAGCCATTCTGCAATATATTTAGTACCAGCATTGCACTCGTGCGGTGCCGGGGCTGGCCGCTAGTATGTATATATATAGTTGTATGGTGACTGAAGAAAATTTACAGCTCTGTCAGTAAGACAAAGTTCTTTGAACAATAAAACATATTATCATTATTAGTGAATTGGATATTGATAAAAAAAAATGTTTCCGCCCGGGATCGAACCGGGGACCTTCCGCGTGTTAGGCGGATGTGATAACCACTACACCACGGAAACAGTTGGAAAAACGTTGTGAAAAAAATGTGAACCAACCACTATCTGTCAAAGTGTAAAGTGTAACTGAATAATGTATACAAATCGATAATGATACGGAGTTACAAACATGTATTTCCTTTGAAAATTGGCAATTCCTGTTAGCGATGATCTAGGTGTATTTAATTGCAAGTAACTTATGATATAGGTATATCCATTATTGCTCATGAAATCATTGACTATAATTCTATCGTTATTAAATCCATCAAACTTAAACTGATTTTTTATATAGATATCTTACAAATTAATGTATGTATCTTTATACATACAATGATTGTAACTTTTTTTATGTGCCTTTATATGTCTTACTGATGTCACAAAAGTCAATTTGTTTTGATTTGATCGGTTTCTCAGTACAACTCTGTTCTCGATTACTAAACGATCAACGATTGGGTAGATTTGAGGTTATATTCGAATTGGATTGTGAGCGGGTTTGTAATTGGTTTGAACAAAATTACTGCGGGAATTCACAATGCAATCTGAAATTACCTGCAAAAGTTGATCCTTCACTAGTCAGATTCGGACTTCCTCAGTTGGTTTAATTAATTGTACCTTCCCATGTTTGTCATGCATCAAAATTTTCAATAATGTTCTAATAACACCGTTAAAATAACCGATAAAACGTATTGATTGACGAGTTAATATAGGTATAGCCTCATAACACGTCGTAAATGCATTGAGGGCGTCAAAAAAATATACAGTAGGCTAATCCACCAAATGGAAATTCCAATAATGTGATCTAATCAGTGGGTCAGCTCAGCCTGTATAACTATAACTATTTCTGGTGGAGAAAAAACTGGAGATACTTTAGTTTTCCGAATATATTTGATTATCGCCAAATATATAGGAGTGGAAAGAATCATGACAAACTATCAAGAAAGATATCTTCGCATCTATTTTCCATAATGAGTTTTATCATAGTGAGGTTAGGTCCAAAGTGAGGGGGGCAAGGATTTATCATGGCTACATACACATACAAATACTTCCATAAGTTGACAGTAAAAAGCAAGGAAAGGTTCTTGCGTAAATAGGGTACCATTCCAGTCTAGATTAGCACACTTTTGATAAAACCTATCATAGTTTGCACTACTATAGATTCTTCCAATCCTAAATTTTATTTTTTGGTACCATCTCATGAACAATATTACATTCTATAACCTCATGATCCGAAATCCCTGAGGATGTAACAGAGCGTAGAACATTTCCAATGTCAAAATTACTACATATATAGTCTATACAAGATGAGGAATATTTAGTGACTTTAGTGTTTGATTCAAACAAACATTGAACAAATTTATGAGTTCTTGAGTGGTACAAGAGTTATTATTTGAGTAGTCTTTATTAAAATCTCCGCACAGGAGTATGTTTGCATGGATGAGCAAATCATTCAATATTATCTCTAAATTAGTTAAAAATAAATTTACATCAGATGTAGGTGATCTGTATAAGCACAAAACATACAAATTGATCGTTTTTAGATAACAAACAGAGCCCTCCAATGTTTTTTTCATTAAGGTAATTAAATTTTGCTATATTTTGAGGCCGATATTTGGACAAAGATTCCCCTCAATTAAGATCATTATGCCGCCATATCCGGCTTTTCGACAAAATTTGGAGAGAGAGGTATAATTCCCTAAGTGGTAGGGCTCACTGTCCTTAAGCCAGTGCTCGGATTATTCTTGTCTTCAAGAAATATTCTTAATTCGTCTGCTTTGCATCGTAAAGATTGGATGTTCAGCAATATTACAGAAATTGCGCATTTGCTTATGCTATTTATTACCTTTCCTGATGTGGATTCTGGATCTCTAAAACAGATGTATTGGAGCTTTCGTGATTGGAGGCACTTATACCAGGAAGTAGTTGAATAGGTACAATAACAATGTTACCATTTGGTGATGACAGGAAATATATAACTTTTTCCAATATTCTAAATTTACTTCCATTTTGTCTATTATCGATGAGACATCTTATAGAGGTTGAAAAATTGCGTTTTTTAAATTCGTTTATGTATTTCCTTATTTTGTTTATGATAATTTGGTCTATAGGTCTTTTACGTTCAGATATGAGTAAAAGGTTCGTGAATTTTCCAATAGGTAGTATTTGTTTTAAAGCTAAGGGTAAATTTTTGTTATTACTAATGTTGTTAGTATTGAACATTATTATCACATAACCTTTGGCCCCATGCTGTAAGGTATTTTGGAAAATATTTTTTGTAATATCTGATAGTTCTGTTTGAGCGCATATAATTTCCTCGATTTGGTAATTTGTCTCGGGAATCTTCTTATACAAAACAGTACAGAAATTAATTGCATATTGATCCCCGATAATCAGTATTTGTCTTGGGATTTCAGAAATTTTGGATATGCAATCATCTCTTTCTTTATCAGATCCATAGTGCTGTGCTAGCGAAACGTGATATATTTTTCAAATGAAGTTTGTGGAGATCAAATCATGAAGTGTAATTTCTGAAAGTTCTATTCAGTAATTCAGCTTCGTAAGGAAAATGAACTGAGAAAATGCAAGTTTCTCGAATACTTATACTTGAATAGTGTAGAGTGTAGAGTATATACCAGTATCCTCCGCTCACAACAAGGGTTTGTCTTTTGACGACTACGTTATGCAAAGTAAATAATGATTCATTAAAAAGTCTTTAACTAACAGAAATCATCTAGTGATTTATTGCTCTAGTTAATGGAATCTATTTGCCGTGCCGTTGAGAGAGGCGAATAGAAATAAAGTGAAATAGAAACACAAATTCAATAATCAATAATGTGGTTGTAAGTTCTTCTTCGCAGTTGGTCTGTCTCCTCTGTTGTGCCACCATGAATACTTATTCTGAAAAAAGAAGAGGAAACACTTTTAGTTTCCGAACATATTGGACTATTTCTAAATATATAGGAGTGACACCACGTGGAAAAAATCATGAAAAACCACTCAGGAAGATATTCTTGAATCTATCTTCGATAATGTTTTTTTCCTTCTTTTTTTTCATGCAACTCATGAGACTTGAAGATGGTTACTCCAGATTGATTGAACAGAAGAAAGTCCGCACATTAAGATCATTTCTTATGTTCGTACAAGAGACAACAGACTTATTTTGTCGAGTGTCATCTTTTCTGAATGCTTACCGTTTTTGGAATACTTGGGAAATCATATCTCACGATATATTACCTGAAACCATTTACGAAAAAAGACGATTTTATTACAAATACAACAAAGTTTATGGAGTCCTCAAAATAATCAGTTGGCATTTATTAATGATTTTTCTGGTAATATACGGATGTTATAATTGGTTTACTGACCCTCGTCGATTTCATTTTGTCTCCTTTTCTGGTTTTATCGAGGAATACTTTCATTTTGTGAAAGTAAATTTGATTTGGGAAATATCTATTATCTTTAGTATCCGTTATGATTGCTTGAGAAGCATTATCGAAAATACATATTGTGTACAGTCACTGAATCGGCTTAACGACATACAATTATTAACACCAAAAATTCGAGAAATCAAGAGACATTACAGAAAATTGTATACAACAATGGCGAATGTAAACAAAATATTTGAGCCGTCCTTTACTTTTCTGGTGATTTGTAATGTAACCGGCTTACTGAACTGTTTCTGTTGGTTTTTGCATAGCAGAGTTGGAACGAATATGTCCATAATATTTGTACCTGGGTTTCCCGCTTTCATTTGTCTGGTGGTGAGTACTCTAAATGCATAAACCCAAACAATTTACCAATGTGATTGTGAAACGTATTCATAAGATTCTTTGATATTGAATTTTATTGTTTTCAATGCGAACAGAAATTTCATCCATAACATTATTGAAATTTTCCAGGGTTGAAATCCCAAGTGTGTCAGTTGAAATATGGGCAAATCAAAAATTTTCGAAGGTATGCTAATCAAATGACTTGTGTATATAACAGGTTGATGAAAGTCCGAGAATTTTTGGAGAATTATCACGGATAGACTCCAATTCCACGATTAATCTTTTCGCTTATTCCAAGAGCCTCCGCGTGTTGTAGATATTCCTCTGATTGCCGACCAGCTCAAATCCACCTGACACACTCAAGCCTTAGAGAAGTTCGAAACTCTGAGCAGAGAACTTCAACAGCGTAAGCTCACTAAACCTGTACCACCCGATAATCCCGATGGACGTTCGAATAGTCCTTGTGGGTTCTAAGAGCTTCACTGCTCCAGGCCCAGATGAGCTGACCACTTATTGGTGGATGAAACGACCAAGCACCCAACGTCATCTAGCCCTAATTTTCCACT